GGTGAAGGGCATTGTGAATCGGAACATTGCAAAGGGATCTAATGTCGAAACGGTAGCCGATGCTCTAAGGCGGCGATGCGGCAGCTTCTGTAGTGCCGAGGATGTCGTCATTTTCAAGGCCCAGGAGATGTTGAAACGAGCCACTGAAGTAGGCTCCAATTCGGAGCTTGGACGCAACCTGCTGAATGAGAGCCTTCACTTGTTTCAGCAGGTATCCGACAATCTGCCAATGGACTACCTGGTCTCTGCAGTCGAAAGCTACATCAAGAATGAGTTCTTCGCAGGTATGATCCCCGTGTTCGTATTGGAGCACAAGAAACGCCACTAAAACAAAGTACTGCAGGCGCGATTCAACTGGCTTTGAATGTGGCCGCTCGCTCAGACAAGGCCAACCTGGCACTTGCATGGATTGTGGATGGTCGCCCCACTGGTGTAAGTACCCTTTTTGATCTAAATCACTTCCTTGATGACTGACATTTCCATCTTAAGGATACTCGTATTGAGTACTTCCAGTATCGGAAGCAATGCTATGATCTCATATTCAGGGTCATCATTGCAGTCGACAAGCATACTGCCAAGGATATCGGTATTGTTGATGGACAATTGACAGTGATGGCCAAACGCAGGAATGAGGCATATGGAGTGGTTTCCGACTCTCGAGACGAGGTGTTTTTGACTACCCTATATGATTGGTACCTCGAACAAGGTTGGAGTGAGCGACTGCTCCAGAGCGATTCCCCCTTCGTGGTCGCCTACCTTGAGCGCAAAGCCGATGATGACATTGAACACGCCGATCTTCTCTGGCGTTATTTTGCGCAGTCTGAACGATTTTTCGAAGCAGCCAAGGTTCAACTCCAGCTTGCGCAGAGCAGCTTCAACATTCCCTTGAGCCGCAGAATCGAGTACCTAGGATGGGCTCGGGCCAACGCATCGATATTCACTCCGGATGTTAGCCGACAGGCTCGTCAAAGACTGGTCCAGGAAACCTCCAATCTGATTGATGTTGCCGACATTCAAGACGAAATCTTGCAACGCCTGAAAGACGATCCTCGGGTTGCGCCGGAAGCCAAACCCCAGGTCCTGAAGGAAGTGGATGGGGCTATCAGGGACATCAGTTATGTATGTGTTACACCCCAAAAATTGCCTTTCCCCCATCATTTTCCAGTTTATCTAATGCCTATTAGCTCTTTAACAATATCGCCGACCCTGGAAGCTACTACGATATCTGTCTGCAGATCTTCTTCCACGCCGACCACCGCAACGCGGCTGACATCAAGTCCACATGGCAACATCTCCTGCAAGACCTCCACAACCGGGTCTTGGAGCGGGGCGAGCCCCAGCCCTACGAAGCGGTGATCGACCAGGTGCGGAGTCTGGGCGGCCGACTCCGCATGTCAGACTCCATCATGCCCATCCCGATCATCCTGCCCATGCTCGAGCGCTACGCCCTAGAGCACCAGCGTGACGTTGGGCCCCCAACGTGGATCGTTGACCTCCTCCTCGACCTGAACGTCGCACACGAGACCATTTTCACCGTCCTCGAGGGCATGTACTACACAGACGAAGCGCCCTTCCAGGGCAACAACCGGAGATACATCGCCAAGGACCTCCTATATCTCATCCAGCATTGGTACCACGAGACCGTCCGCCCCGGCGGCCGGGTCTTTGGAAGCGACACCGCCGCCAACCGCGTCCTTGAGACCCTCCTCCTCATTCAACAAGGCGGCGGCATCCCGCCGGATCAATTGCGCGTGGCCAACGAGCTCCGGACTAAGGTCCAGGATATATTACGGTGATATAGCGTGTGCGTGTGCGTGTTTGTCTGTGGATTATAGGATTGGGGCAAGTAGGTAGCATGGTTTTCAAATCTCACTTTTTTTTCACCTTTTGACTCTGTATTTTTTTCATGTCTCCGATCACAGGAGACAGCGAGCGGATAGAAAAGGGGGCGGTGCTGGAGTTTTCCTTTTATTTATTTCCCTTTTGTCTTACCTTTTTTTTTTCAATCTTCCAACTTTGAGTTTATTACACAGTTAGAAGGGGGGTGCAGTCGAGCTTACTTCTGACCCATTCAACGTGTACCCTATTGTTCTATTTCAGATCTCTGGGCAGTTCCTCATTGATCCTCTCTTCTCGCACTTGGAGGCGCTTTGGGAACTTTGTACTTCGAAAATTGGGCCCTTGGAGGGACATGACACATTCAAGCCGATAGTCGGTAAGTTAGTGGACTAGTAACCCAGTTAAGGGGGATGATGCTGAGCGCAAACGGGCTAGACTGCTAGTATACTCTTGAATCATCTTTCCTATATGTAGAAAGAAGAAATCTGTACTCTTACATACAATACAAAACCAGAGTCTTCGTTCTTCATCCTCAATGGGCCGGCCTGTCTGCATAAATCGATCGTCACGAACCATTGTTTTCCCCAACCCATTCCACAACATATATATCTCTCCGCTTGCGCAATCCGAGGCCGTGAACTAGCCACGTTCTCTCATGTAATCAAGAGGGAAAGGCCTTTGGAATCACGTGGCCGGATTAATCAGGAAGGCCGGCGGACTCTTCTTGGTCCGGTGAGGAAGAGATAGATGTACTACTATACTACTACTGTACATGCACGATAGGATAAAGGGAAGGTACCCGAGGCTGATGCTAGCTTTCACTACTTTCTTGGGGTAGAGACCACTGGCTATACTACTGGATCGGAGGATGCACGTCGGGTTCGGGTCCATCGTCATGATGCGTCAGACAAAGTGCTTTTCTCGATTCTACCCTAATACTATGTATTTCGAAGACTCCTCCGTAATGGGAATGTGCTACTTCGGCGGTTGATAAGCGGACAGCTGACTTATAATTAATAAGACTAATTGCACAATCAGCACAGAGTCAATATCTCGATTAAGTACTATTTGCCCAATGCCCACCCCAAATGCATTTATCAAAGCTAGCAAAAAGGATGTACCAGGAAAACAACTTCCTAAAGAAAAGAAAAAAGATGGACAGCAAACAAAAACCAAATGGAGTCAGCGGTGGGGTCTCCCCAGGAAAACGAATCCTGCTAGTCAAAAAACCGAATGAACTTTTTTTACCCCCACACACAAACCCCGCCAGTCTAGATATGCAAACAACAAATGATTAAGCGGTCTATTCGAATAACACGAGCAGAAAGAAAACACAAAAACAATCGAAGGGCTGAGGTATCAATTTTGAAGGACCGAGTCGAGGATCAAAATAGATATTAGAAGTAGTAAAAAGAGGGGAAAAGAACAGAAATAACTCCTTGAAATGAGACCCAGACGAAAGGGTATAATGATTAGAAATGGGAGTCAGGTGTGGAAAAATAGCGAAAACGAATCGCAGCGCAAGACGAATAAGGGCGGTTGGTAGAAGGACTCCCCGAAGGTAGGCTCTCTCTCACTTCTGATACGACCCAGTCGCGCCAGAGATCTGCCGTCGTTGCGGGAAAGACATGCGTACATCGTAACGAGAGAACGATTGGAGGGGTCGAGAGCCATTCTACTCGAATTGGTCGTACACTGGGATGGGCTTCTCGCCCAAGGCACACATGCGGAAGATATGGCGGAGCTTAGCACCGTTGTCGTCATCGAGATAGTCGACAATGGCAGAGTCTGATAAGGAAAAGAATCAGTATGCCTTTTTAGGCTTCAATCGGGAGAGAACGTACGAGTGGTGCTGCGGTTGTCGAAGAGGACAATTGTCCTGGGTTGCCATCGGACTCGGGCCTGGAAGTCGTGTCCGGTGATGATATGTTGCATGAGGAAGTCGAGCAACCACTTCTGCTCAGGCTCCTTTAGGCCCTGAATCTTCGTGATAAACTCCCCATTGACGAAAAGGCATTTCTCGCCTGTTACCGGGTGAACGCGCACAAGCGGGTGGACGGTGTCGACAGCGTCCTTGCGCACCAAACTACCAGTCATGCGAGCGTGGGTGATCATCTTGGCGGAGGAGTGGACTGCCCGCAGCGTATCCAGCCATGAGGTGAAAGTGGGAGAAAGACGCCTGTGCCATTTCCTGGTTAGTAACTCTCCGTCGCCTTGCCATCCATTCGTGGCAGCGGGGCCATTACTTACTTGTACGCCATATCAGTAGCTGAGAAGACGGTGTCGCCGCCCACCTCGGGACCTTCTAGCAGTCCTAGCATGACATAGCTGGGGGGTTGAATCTCGTAGCTCACATCTTGGTGCCAGAGTGTGGTTGTTGTACGCTGCTCCAAGAAGCGTGTAATCTCCTCACGGTTTCCATCACGATGAATAATGTGAAATCCAGGGTGGCCGCGCATGGAGCCGGAGACCGGCTGGTAGTTAGGCTTGCCAAAGTGTCGCATAAATGCCTCCTGTTCCTCCGGCCCAGCATCGATCAGATCCTGATCGGGGAAAGCAACCACCTTGCGCTCTGCAATCAGCAGCGCCAATTCATCCTTAGCCGCATCCGAGAGCTGGCTCAACTGGACTCCCTCCAAGATGCTTCCGATCCGCGGCTGAATCTCCGTCATTTTGGTGTTCGGAGTCAGAAGGTTGGGCTTGCTCTTGTCCTTCACACGCAGGGCAGGATCCTGGTACTCAAATGGAGGAAGTGGGTCAAACCACACTTTGTCCCATGTGGGAAGGTACTCAGGGTATCTGGTGCGGAGATGCACTTCTTTGGTGACGTCGACGTAAGGAATGTTGATGTCGTAGCTGATCGGCTCTTCTTCCTGATGGGCATTCATGGCCTTCTTGGGCCGCAGGATTGGGGCTGTGGATGGCATTGTGCTGTCTTGGTAATCTTATCCCAGATGTTCTTTGTGTGTAGAGGATGAATGCTTATAGAATAGCTTGAAGCTGGAAGACTTAATCAAGGTATCGTGTCTGAGGTGAAGAAGACTGAGTAGAAGGTGAAAGGAAAGATGGAATTGAGGATTGAATCATGGAGGAGGAAAAGAAGAAGGGTTGGATGAAGGTGGACAAGCAGCAATATATAGATGTCAAGCTGGACATCTACTCCACCATCTCGCCATGACGATTGAAAAGACTGCGCAACCTTTAAGCGCAATCGAGTGGACGATATGATCACGGTGGCGCTAAATGATCTTGCATCTGCCGGGAGTCGCTTGGCTATTGCCCAGATAGGTAGACTGAATGCTATCCCTTCCATCTTCGGAGCGGAAAGTCGGCGCTGAGAGACACACCAGATTGTCCACGGCGGACAGAGGAAATAGAACCACCCTCAAAGGGCCATGACGACAGGGGTACAGAAACCAATGCTGAACGGGTCTCTACAGGTAAAAACGGCAGCCGATTATAGACTAGGGGGTGAAGGGGGAAGGGATGGAGGGGGGCGGCGGCACGACTGCGAGCCAGTCAGAGAGAAGGATAAGTCCGAAACGAACCAAAAGGGTGAGAGGAGAGGAGGTCACGGTAGTGGGAATAGTGGGAATAGTGAAAAAAAAAACACACAAAGACAGAGCAGACAGATAGACAGGTCGAGGAAGTTCGAGTCGGGACAAGGGAGGAAGCAGGCTGGAGCCCGCTCGGAAGCGCGACCGAGAATAGAGGCAGGCGGAGACGCAAGAGGTTGTTGGTAAGGAGAAGCGGTCAAGGGCCCAATAGAGGCAAAGCGAGTGGACTCATAGTCTCAATTTACCCAGCAAGCATCCGTCCTGCCCGCATCGGATGAGGACTGAGATTATCTCGGACATTGATGATCGACCGCTTCTGACTGTCTTTCAGTCTTTTGACCTTTTTTTTTTTCTTCCAGCTGGATCCGAGAGAATGGCTCCCACTATCCGTAGATAGTTAGTTTCGAACCATCTCAAACCCTTCTTTCAATTGACCCCGGTCTCTGTCTTCGTGTGGTTTCACCGCTCTCTCTCTCAGTCCGGCGAGTCTAGGGGATCGATAAGAAGTCGAAAAAGAAGTAGAAAAAATCGTTTAATAATCTGTACGAAGACATGAGAGTGGAACCCTGCAGCAGGCACGTTGGGTCAATATCGCTAACTTTGGTGGTGGTGGTGTCGTCTGCTTCTCGTAGGGTCACGGATTGGCACTAGAGCCCGCGGAATCTATCCTGTGCAGTAGGTGGATGCGCGATGCGCCGCCTCCGTAGCTTCTGGTAGCTCTGGCTATCGTGCTTTCCTCAATCCTTGCATACCTGGGCAGCAGCCTGTTAATCTTCCGGCTTCCAGGCCTGCGGATGCTTTGTCCTACGAGACTTTAGGGGCGTACTGCATCGAAATCATTTCTTTTCCTCAATAATCCTGGAATTCTGCAGCGTCAAGGCTCTTCGTTGGTTGGTGGATGTAATAACATGTCTTAATCCATAGGCCACCGACATGATAACCCGTACGACGCTGAGCCTGGAATTGAGACTTGCGTGCTTGCAATCTAAGCTCCCTGCCGTGTGGCACTTGTTCGAGGGTGTTTCTGACTGATCCCGAGCTCTGATCGAGTCATTGAATAAAAGTTGACGTTACTGGTTCCGATCAAGTCGGTATAATCCTCATATTGAATTGAGATGATCAACGGTATATCGTTATATCATTGTCAAGGAGATCAACCTCGATGGCCGTTCAAACATACGTCGTTTGAACAAGACCATTCTGGAGATGTTCAAGCTCCCAAATGCCATCCAGACGCGGTGTAAACGCTTGTGGTACATGAATTCTTGATCTTCGTCGATTGCCATAATTGCATCCAAATCATACCGGTAGTCTTTGTAGGATTTAGGGTACTGAACAAATTGGACCGAGGCGCAACGGTGGGCCAGGCCGATCCGATTTTGCTAGCCCCCCCTGTGACGTTTGTTTCCATTCGGGAATGCGGACCAATGTCCGGGGTTCCATCAAAGTTGTCTCCACTCAGCCACGTTAAGGTGTCTACTCGTCGGTGACGATGGATCGCCAAAGGCCGCTCTCTAGAACATTTCCCAGACGGTATCGAAGGCCCACAGAAGCCTCGAAGAAAGGGCGGAGGGGCATCGGCCTGATAATGTGCGATCATGCCCACCGACGCGGTTCGGATTGCATAGTGTCCACTTTGAGCCACCGTCAATCCAGAAACTCCAGAGCCTGGAGGCGTCGAATTGCCATCGTGACCGAAGCCATCGGAAACAGCTGTGCATGCGGCATGCTGTCCCAATTCTCTGTCAATTTAGTTGCACTGGACTCTTCTACTTCCTGCATCGGTTAGTCCACTCTCGAGGCATGACCAAGTCGGTTTCCGGGACGTGATCCGTGGCCGTCTGCTTCAGATCGCGTTGCAGTTTGCTCTTCACGATCTTTCTCTTACGCAATGGACAACGACATTTGCAGCTGCTCCAGGAGAATCCTGAGAGTAATCCCAAATCTGATGCCGGTGGATACTGAGTAGTAGATATTGAATGCTTGCGACAAATAGTACTGTGCTCCTAATCCTGATCTGCATGCTGGACAGTCCTGTGACCACGGATGGTCAAATCCTCGCCCCGGGTTTCTACTCTTTAAGGGTTATACTAGCTTCCAGGGTGGAATACAAGGGATCCATGACCAGCAGCGGTACCGTCCCGGGAACCGGGGACTAGCAGGCCAATAATCCACACGGAGCACTGGAACTGCAACAATGGACTGCTGACGGCTGGTGGCACAAAGTGTGGCGCTATGCGCCAATCTTCCCGTCGTCCGTTGCCCATGAGTTCATGGGGTCTGAGGGAAAAAATCGAGCCTGTCTCATATTCTGGAAGCATGGCCCGCTCCATCGAGGATCGATGTCAAAGTCGATTTCCTGGATCGAGTTACCGGGGCTGCAGAAATAGTACACAAATTCTGTTATTCAAAGGCATAGCAGATCCGCCTTCCTCTGGCGGATACCGACTGTCTATCCTTGCAGTACTTTTGTCGCCTCACATCAGGGAGTGAGGCCGCTTTCCGGTCCAAGAATAGCCCAGAGAGGCAGAAGATCAGCTCAGAGGGGCCTGTTGCCACAGATCGAAAGTCCCATTGGGACTTTTGCATCATCAGGCTTTCCTGGTGGGAGGGGGGAATGTGGGCGTAAAGGACGAGTTTCAAGGGGCATCACAAGTTGCGGTGAGGGCACACACACACACACACGTCCAGTTCTCGGGCCGCCCAAGAATGAGAGATCACTTTCAGGATCAGTAGACGGGTTCATCCCCTGGTGATGGGACCACCCATCGTGGACGGATCATGAGGTGTCTCATAAGGCGATAAGATTCTTAGACAGGAGGGGATTTGCTGCAAGGTCAATTGATGGAGAGCCGAACTAGTCCGTCATCGGTGTCCACGAACTGTTGGACCATCGTCCTTCCAACCATTTGCTGGGGGCGACACACTAAGTGAAATTAAGTAGAGCCGTGAGGGTCCAAGCAGACAGCTTGATTGACAGGCCATCGTAGTCTCACGCAAGCTAAGCTTAAGCTATGTTTAGGCAGGTAGGTAAAAAGAAATCCTAGGTGCATGCAGAGAGGTGTGAAAAAAGCAAACATCCTTCTTGATCGTGCGTACCTGTCGACTGTCTTGTCTTTCCCAGTCGATCGGGTCAGGCGAACGGCGGGGGAAGCTTTCCCTTCTCCCCTCGCTCTCTTTTTTACACCCTTTGTTTTTCTTAAAAGAGAATGAGAAAGGTGCTTTTGCTGTGGGGACTTTCTGGAGAAAATGGTCGAGTTCTCGAAGTCAAAAGAACCGAGTCAGGTGAGATGTACATTTTGGTTTGTTTGCTTTTCCAGTTTTGGCAGCTGCACAAGGGGGCGGGGATCACCTGACTAAGTACGGTGCAGCACACATCAATTTTCCAAAAGCAAACTTGAATCGTGTTGTATGTGTTAGGTATACCTCACTATTATTTGCTTCCGCCTTGTTTATTATTGATTTCCCACCTCCAAAGTTTCTCGAGCAATCACACAGGACCTTGAAAGCATTTGCATTCGCAAAACTAGAACCATGGCTATTGCCACTTCTCCCGTATCCTTGTGGAGCCGGAAACGCGATCTCGTCTACTTCGCATTCTTCGCCATCCATGTCCCCATCATCTTCTGTAAGTCGGGAGTTGTCCCCCAAACTACCGAGACACTTTCGTTTCCCCCCTCCAATCTCTACTCTGTTCCAATGCAGAAAGACGGTTTTTCTGTACTACTCTGCTGCTCCTCCACCCCCAACACAAATCAGATGTAGATGAGACATAAGCGAGTGAGCGAGCGAGTGAGCAAGCAAGTAAGAAGGGCAAAACAAAAACTGACATGATGCACGCAAACAAACACGATCAGTGGTCGATGCCGCTCCCATCCTGCCGTCTTTCCTCCAGTCCAATCTCAGCGTGACGCTACGCGAGTTCTACATCGAAACCTATCATGACAAGTTCTTCGAGGAGACCCCAACCACTTGGTTTACCTTCTTTCTGTTGATGGAGCTATTCTATCATGTTCCGCTCAGTGTCTGGGCTCTACGCGGCCTGAAGAAAGGTATGTACAGTACACACAGTCCATCAATCCAGTACATCGGGTTGCCAATGGGTGGATCATTTTTCGTTCTTCTTCTTGGGGTTCCATGATCTACTCCTATGCCTCTGCCTCCACTCTCTTCTTCCCTCCCGGGAAATCCCCCCCTCCCCTTCCCCTAACCTCCCCTTACATCACAGCCCTGTCTCCATCCGTCTTTTCTTTTTTTTCTTTTTTTCCTTTTTTTTCGATTTTAATTTTCTTTTTCTCCCACTGGGTGCTTGCTTGCTTACCATGACAGATGATCCTCTTGTTCCCGTCCATTTGCTCGTTTTCGGAGTGCAATCGTTTCTCACCTCGGCCATCTGTCTGGTGGAGGTCTGGAGCTGGACGGACCGTACGCTCGCCCAGAAGCAGAATATTACCATGCTCTATGGTCCTTATGTTGCTCTCGGTAAGGCTGATCTAAATTTAGGGCTTGCTTCCTTCTGTGGAACACAGCATGTAGTTATCGTACAAGAGTTGGCCGGGGCTGACTTATGGGTTCTCTAGGCGCATTTATGGCAGTCGACATGTTTTGTAGACTCCGCGAGCGACTTGTGCTCAAGTCCAAGTTGGATTAGACGGCTAAGTCCCTCGAAATTTAGTTTGGTTACTTTCGTTGGATCTGCGACGGGCTTCATGCCCCAGGTAGCGAAAGGTTGGAAGAAGGGGTGGTCAGGAATTAGAAAGCAGATCTTGGTCACCACATACGCACATAGATTACTACAGTTGCTCGGATAGAGGCACGCAAAAATACTGACTTGCCTTATCATAGCTTCCAGCTGTTAGATTGTGGCATATATGCTCGCTGCTGCACAGGTTCTAGGTGCTTCCCGAGTGACAGCAGAACCCGCCACACCGACTCTATGTGAGAACATTGCATAATAAGGATGAGAGACAGGGCGCCCGCAGTGTAGGTTGGCCAAGAAAAACAAATATTGCAATCGCGAGAAAGCACTCCCCTACAGACAGAAAATGGTGACTGGTAGCCCACGTCGTAGCGACCTCCGTTATTGAAAGAGCCGAGAGTCACAGGGACAAAATGCGAGCAACATCAGGAGACCATTTATCACAATGACAGAAAGAAAAATCGCATCTCACAGTGCACATTCGGCTCGGCGATGATAGATCAAATTGAGCGGTAATAAACAGAATGGCCAGGCCTCGCCCGGTCATGTCAAGGAAATCTACGTCAGGTCGTGACATCACACATTAAATCAGGAATCCAATGGCCTCGTCCAGGTTCCCGTTGGCGGCATCTAATGCACGCATCGCCTCTTCCCGTGTGAAGCCCAGCTCTGTGATTTTTCCAATGGAAACTTGTGGCCAGCGCGATGTTGGTGGGGCTGGGCGGGAAGGAGGAGGCGCGGAAGAACCACCAGATCCTTGACTGCTGCCACCGGCCTGATGCGTGACCGCTCCGGTTCGGGCGCCGACTTCGGCGCCATCGGGTCCTTTGATGACGGGTTCGTCCTCGAATTCATCCAGAAGATGCCTGGGAATATCCGCCTCACCAAGGAAGGGGACTGCCTGGTCCTGGATCACCAGAGCACCGCGCTGGAGATCAATGCAGGCTTGATGCCGTTTCAGCATGTCCAGGCCCAAGAGCAAATCAATATGTTTGCCTTCCATGACAGTAAACGAACACGGCAGGAACATGCTGCCAATCTTTATTTGTGCCGAGTGCACCCGACCTAGAATGGTTGCTGTTCCCACGCCCTTTGCAATGCCGCCGTACCGCCGATCAACGAGTCTCATAATGTTGCACGCGGTCGCACATTCTGGCGACATGATGGTGACCTGTGCACCGGAGTCGACAAAAGCGTTGAGTTTGTGGCCGTTGACCTCGACAGGGATATACAACATGGTTACGCGACCGAATGCTGTGCTGTATGTTTAATCACCAGCTCCGCAAATTATGAACACTTGCAGGTCCGACTTACACTCCGGATGATGCTCCATTGCATTATGGAGGTTTTCCGTCACAGCATTCTGACGAATGATCTCTTCGATCTGCTTCTGATTTTCGGGATTGAAAGGATCGGCATTCAACATGGCAATCCGCGCTTCCTTCTCCGCCTCCATTTGAGCTTCGCGGGTTTGTTGTCGGGTGAGGACCTCGCGGAACCGCTGCGCATCGTTGGCAGCGTCCGCCAACTCCGGGTTCTGCCTTCGGACGGCTTCCCGCACACGAGGGTCACCCAAAATATGTAGGCGAATTGTCTCGGGATCTGGGGTCATAGCCTGACGTCGCTGCAGATTCTGCTGGGCGGCAGCAGAGCTGGGACCTCCTATGCTCCGGGTGGGCGCGGGGGGCCCTCGCAGCGTCACATGGACACCGAGCATATCCCCTTCACCGATGCCGACTTGCTCAAGCGTACGGGAGTCATCACCGAGGAGTTGATTGTTATATACGAGTCGCTGGGCGTCGGGCGGTATCGAGGTTTCACTTTCAACAATAGCTTTCAGGAGCTCGACGGTCATATCCGCCCCGACTTCGAGGGAGATAATATCGGCATCGGCCTGGTCCGGGCGAATTACGCTTACCGTGATGCGCCTAGAGATAGGTGGGTTCATCATTAGCTTAAACAGGTTTTCCTGGAAATGATTTCTCCGAGTGTATGCCCGTTTGCGACGTACATGATGTTGTGCAGCGGTAGGTGCGGGGAAGCTCTCCCAAACCCGGGAAGAGTAAGCTGTATTGAGAAAAGAAGAATGTAGGATTGAGGCCGTTTCAGAAGGACAGCAAATGGGTACGCTTAAGGAGCTGAGAGTCAAAGAAGCTGTGTATCTGTCCCAAGTGTGGTTGATTTCTAATGGAAGTGCGTAGAGACTCAGGGAAAGGTAATCGGGGAACGAGCACGCGAGGAGAGGTGGTGTTGTAGAGAAGAGGAGTAAGACGCGGGCGGGGGAGGATACGACCGAAGAGGAAAGGGAGGAAAGGATCAAAAAGATGCAGAGGTCTTAAGGGTATTCAGGTAACGTAGAACCTAGAATAATAAGAAGGAATAAAAAGGTAAGGGTATTTAGAAATAGCAGGAAGTACTGTATTGTGTAGGTGCAGTTGAGTGAGTGAGTGAGTGAGTGAGTGAGTGGGTGAAGGAGTGATAAGGAAGGCGGGATGGGCAGGTTACGGTTCCTGGTAAAGTGCAGAATGAATGGAGGTCCGGCGTCCGGCCTGATTCGGCAGGCAGCAAGTCATGGTGCGTCATCCGTCCACCCATCGGTCCCCTGGCCTGCGACCGTAGCTTCCGGGCATACATACATGCAATCTCCAAACAACTCTAACCCATTCTACCTCAAGCTATTGAATGAGTGCTCGGGCTTGAGTTCTTCCTTTACCCTTTCAATGAAGCATTGTACTTTGCATCTATTTCATCTCATTTTAACAAGCGTCAATGAAGGAGACAGTTATGGCCATGTTCGCTATTGTTCTAGACCCATAATAATCACCACTGGCACCAAGAAGAGAAGTATATCTTCCACCCGACCTGACACCACTATGTCTGTCATCGTGCTGCTGACCATCGCTGACTATAAACTAGTTCATCTTCTTCGTGACTACTACTATCACCTAGTCACTAAGATGGCGAAAATAGTGTCAGGTCACATGAACGAACCCTCCTGTCATCAGGCTTGGCCGACAGCCTTTCTGGTTAATCATAAGCCCGAGCCCGATTAACTAGTGGCCGTTAGCGATACCTATGACATTCGAGCTAATCAATCCATACATCTCTCAATTTCTAAGTTGGGATCCCCCTTTCCTCTATTGAAGGCTATCAATGCGGTCACTGCTCGCAAGTAAGTCATTGGTCAGCCATGAAACATTTCATTACGCTACTATTTGATGTAGGCCTATCGCTGTGTCTATACCTCAACCTCGAGCGTGCTTGCGGTCTTTTCATCGCATCCCAGTTGCTGAATTGATACAAAGTGACTATATGAAAACCTAAAGAACAATTACGGGACGTTTCGGTTCACCTCAAGATGCTGCCCCGAAAGAAGAGGCCATCATAGGCCTCGTGGCTGGCATCACTGCATCAGACACTGCCAAGGATTAAGCATATGGACTGAAGATGAGCTGTGTGAACTAGTACTGAAAGGATACCACCTTGCAGTTACTACACTGTTTGCCTGTTTCGTGATGCTGCAGACTAGTCTGTGCTCAGGACCCCAGTCAAGTAACCGTCTTAGCCTCTGGGGTTGATGGTCCAAACGCAACGCTGGCAAGCGCGGATGTTGCTACTTTACTTCCAACCCTACGGTTCGAGGCCTACCCCGCTATGCGGGGGCAGAAAATGCGAGATTTGCGGCTATGCTTCGATGTTTCATCGGTGGCTCGACTAAGCATAAGTACAGAAGTGTGGTCAATTATAGTGACTATTGCGTGACAATGTGATTCAAGCAGTACTTATTCCAAACGCTTTGCCACTGATACATCTGGCACTCCCTCACCTTCCACAATTTTCGCACCAACAACTTCGTCTACTGGAATCTCAGCCAAACGAGAAATGATGTGATGCAATGTGGGTAGTTGTGTCCAGTTGAGACCATCGATCTCAAACCTTGCGTTCTTGGTGGTTCGCAACCGGGTGATCTTGGAGGGAACCACCTTGGCCTCCTCCGCATGTGGCACAATGACAGGGTACTCTGCTTCGGGCACTCCCTTGTTCTCATGGCCGACCTTAGGGAAGTAGCGGTGCACCAAGATTCCCACGCTGGACGGATTAGGATTCGTGTTCATTTCTGGTTCCTGATCCTCGAGATCTTCCAAATGGAAGTGGCCCCAAACGGCACCTTGCCAGCTGGTTGTCAAATGGTGCGAGTTGCTGCGGTCGTGGGCATCGATTGCTGTATAGAGCTTGGGCATGCCAAGCTCTTCACGACCGCTGACGATAGGGTCCGTTAGACTCTCGAACAGAATCGGCAAATAGGTGCCTTCAATCGTTTCCCCATTCTTCTTCTTATACTGCACTCCCTCGATGTACAGCCCGATGTGGCGGTAACCGCCTCCGCCCAGCCAGTCCATGCGGTGGAGTTTCGTTTGGGAGAAACTCGCGTAGGCTACTGTACCCTGGTTCACAAATGACCAAGAGTCGTTAGGAAGTAGGTTCTGAAGGCAGGTTCGACTGGTTTTAAATCGAATGGAGACTGTCTCGAAAGTGGCTTTGAGCGATTTCTGGACACGATCTCGACCGTACCAGTCCTGTCTGGGACCAGGCATAGGCCCGAACACTACTGGCTGACGCCAGTACTTGGGCGCCCCTTGACTCCAGATGTGCTTTCGGAGGAGGTTGGTCGAATGATCATATTCGTCATGCCCGTAAATGTAGTCTTCCATTCTACGGACTAAGTGAGGTCAATAACCTTGGACGGCAGGATTGAGAAAGGGGAGGAACTGACTTTCGTCGACGGGCTGGGGGCCATCAGAATCGCGAGTCATCTGTTGAATCGTGGTAGCTCGGGTGTATCGAGCTTCCTCGTACAGCTTCAACCTCTCTGGGACTTCTGCTGGGTCGAGGTCCTTCGAGAGCATCACACCCAGAGACACGCCGTCCTCGATGGCCATGGCGCCACCAGAAGCGCGGTATGGCAAGAACGGATGAACGGCGTCTCCCAGCACTGCCAGGCGACCGTTGACCCACGTGGGCGGCTTTTGCATGTCGAAAAGGGGCCATACTCTAAGTGTCTGGGGATCAGCCTTGGCCAAGATCTTGACCACCTCTGGCTTGAAGTCTTTGTAAACTTCCAAAAGAGCATCCTTGCTGGCCTCTTGATCCCAGTCTGCGCCGGTGTTCACCTTGCTCAACGTGTCAGGGTGGATGCAGACAAAGTTCAAAATCTCATTGTTGGCACATGGGTAGATGACCACACGCTTGTCATGGGAATCCCACATGCTACAGATGCTGGGAGCGTCGGCCAGGGATTTTGTCTCGGGGTCTTCCTGGGCGACCTTGCGCGACAAGAGAAAGCGAAAAGCGTTCTTGCCAGAACTGAAGGGCTCGATCTCTTTGGTGCCTGGCAGCTTCGTTCTCGCAAGTGAGTGTACACCATCTGCCCCGATCACGACATCACCATGGAAGACTTGGCCGTTTTCGAGAGTGATTGTGGCAGCTTCTGGATCAATGTCAACAACCTTGCTGGCAGTATGCAGCTCGGCAGGGATGCCAGGACCAGATCCCTGAGCGACATTTTTCAAGCCTTCGTGGAGATGGGCCCGATGCACAAGAGACCATTTCTATAGATGTTAGACTGTAATGAACATGGGGCAATGGGTTGTCCTTACAGTTCGCCACCTATCCGCCCGTGATTTGTGATCGACAATTGCCAGCGTCTTGCCAGCAGGATTATAGATGTGCAGCTTGGGGAAGGTGAGCTTCCAGTTACTGAGTAAAATATTCCACGCGACAAACCTGGTCTACTTCCACGGCTCCAAACTTGGCAGCATCAATACCCAGACCTAGCAGCGCGGAATTCGCATTAGGTGTGAGATGAATAGCAGCTCCAATCTCATTTGCGAAACGAGAACGCTCGAAAAGCTGCATGGAAGCGGTTAGTTTGAATCGGATATGAGGATCAGTTTACACACCTGAACGCGATGGCCCTGCTTGCGTAGTGCAATGGCAGCAGCCAACCCACCGATACCAGCACCAGCAATAAGAATGTTTAGCCCTCCTTGTGAGGCGGTCTTCGGATCGATGCTGCCCATGATGCCCGTTTTGTGTTATAAACGTGCTGCGTCAATGAAAAGAGATTGTCGAGAAGCGGGGGATATAGACCGTCCGCCTGATAGCCCTGCTCTCTTTTTTATAAGCCCGCAAACTGACATGCTAAAAAAAACGATGGACGCCGTTCACCCCCTTACGTGGAGAGTAGCATGCATACCTTGCTTGGACTATTGCCCACCTTTCGGGTTGGTTCTACTTAACTCCCCCGCGCAGGTTCGGCTCACCATTTCGGCCCCACGTTCGGAGCGTTTACTGTGTGTATGAGCAAGTGCTCGGAGAGCAGACCCCAACTTACAATTGGCAAGCTGCGTATTTGAGTCTCCGAGTACTTATCCCACGTACCACCGAGATCAATCTGGATCACCTTCTCTTCTTTCAACGAAACAATTGCCGCATTCCGAGGCCTTTGCAAAGTGAAGACAACATGCCGAACCCTATCCGCGAAGACCTCGCCACGGTGGACGATAGTTCTTTCCCCTATGTCTTCGAGCAGAATGTCACAATTCCCCTGAAAGATCAATCTGGCCTTGTGCGCTGCAATGTTTACCGCCCCAAAGAATTGGAGAAGGCGCCCGTGCTGGTGACCTACGGCCCCTACGGAAAGGATATCCCCTATGCAGACTTCCACCCTCAGTCGTTTAGTGAAGTCAATCCAGAGCATCGCTCAGAGCACTCAGCATGGGAGACACCCGATCCCCTTTTCTGGACCCAAAATGGATACGCCGTGGTTCGAGCGGACGAGCGGGGAACTGGCCAGTCGCGCGGCAAGCTGGACACCATGTCTCGCGAGACCAGCGAGGCCTTCTTTGATGTGGTGGAGTGGGCGGCCGAGCAACCATGGTCTACAGGAAAAGTCGGCTTGCTTGGTATTAGCTACTATGCTGGAAGTCAATGGCGAGTCAGCGCCCGCCAGCCCAAGGGCTTGAGTTGCATTATTCCCTGGGAGGGTATGTCTGACTATTACCGCGACCGTTGTCGCCACGGCGGTATTCTTTCCAACAAGTTTATCAAGTTCTGGTGGGATCGTCAGGTCGTATCGAACCAATACGGACGCCCCGGTCGAGCAGCACGTAACTGGGGCCCCAATACCATCGAGGGTGATCTCCCCGAGGAGGAACTGGAGGCCAACCGTCAAGACCAGACGATCGACAATGTCAACAACCATTTCCGGGATGATGTATACTATGCTAGCAAGGAGTACACCATGACCGATATTCAGGTTCCTCTTCTTTCGGTCGCCAATTGGGGTGGTATCCTCCTGCATCTTCGCGGCAACGTCGAGGGGTACACTCAAGCCGGCAGCGAACTCAAGTACCTGCGCTTCATCACGGGCCGTCACGATCTGCCTTTCTACTACAAGGAGGAAGTTGAGGTGCAGCGGAGTTTTCTGGATGCTTTCCTGAAGGGCGAAGATCGCGCTGGTTGGGCGGACGGCACTGCTCCCAAGGTTGATGTGGTCCTCCGCAAGGGCGATGTTGGTTTCAACAACGCCGAAGCCGAGAAGCAGTACCCGCGCCGACAGGAGAATGAGTGGCCTATCGCACGCACCCAGTATATTCGTTACTACCTGAATTCGAAGCAGGAGCTGGTGACGGAAGCCCCCAAGGAAAGACCGACCAAGATCACGTACCGTGCTCTAGGCAACCTCGACGAGCCACAGCTGGTGCAGTTCACGACGGCATCATTCGGGCAGGAAACGGAAATCACCGGTCACATCGTGGCCCACCTCAACGTATCGATGAGCCCAGAGCCCGGGCGTCCGACGCCCAGAGATATCGACCTGTTCCTGACACTGCGTCATATCTCCCCGGAGGGCAAAGAGGTCTTCTACACCGGCACAGCAGGGGATCCGGTCCCTCTCTGCAAAGGCTGGCAGCGAGTCAGTCTGCGCAAGATCAACGCGGAGCACCCGCGCAACCGGCCTTGGCTGCCCCATCGCGACTATTATTCCACCGATGTGCTGCCGGTGGTTCCGGGCGAGGTGTACGCGGTGGATGTGGAGGTGTGGCCGACCAACGTGGTGGTGGAGAAGGGAGGGAAGATTGTTTTTGAGGTGTCCTCGGGGGATACGCAGGGGTCCGGTCTGTTCCAACATAATTCGCCTGTCGACCGGTCGGAGGAGAAGTTCCAGGGATTCAACCATATCAATTTCGGGAATGGGGATAACTATGTGACTTTGCCGATTATTCCTCCGAGGGAGTAGATTGTCAGACTTAGAAACATAGACTTGGGGGTGGGGATGGAAGTCGACCGACCAAACAATTGAATCGATTGATTGCTTACACACGCTTGTAACTGATGCTGAGCCCCTCACCCGATGTGGTCCCGAAACGCACCCGAGAGCGTTCCCCGCAGTATGGCCGGTAGCTATGACTGATATACTCAGTAAGTAGGATGTTAGAGAGCAAGAACGATAGACACAAAAACACACATATAGCTCAAGTAGTGGCACCTTCGCTCGATCCCTATACAATCTCCAATTTCCTCATACTTGTCTTGAACAGATCCAACAGCCAACCGCACAATTCCATCACTACCAAACCACCACCACCACCACCACCAACAACCCCTTTCTTTCCTTTTTCAACCTCCCAAACCTCGAAAACCAAAAACACAAGCAACAATGGCCACTGCAACCCCCCCAAGCACCACGGCCCCCAAAAACATCCGCCCCCTCAACCGCTACATCACCACCCACTCCCCGACCACGGGCCAAGCGATCTTCTCCACCGCCCTGCCTGAGACCATGCCCATCCAGCAGATCAACGACTCCGCGGGCGCCCAATTCTCGCTCGCGTACACCACCGACACGTTCCCCGTGGACCTGACCGCCGACCGCGACATCCCCGCCTACAACCACTACCTCACCCACCCCCCCGGCATCACGATCAGCACGGGCACCGTCTGCCGGATCGTGGACATGCCGCCGCACGCGCTGAGTCCCATGCACCGCACCGTCTCGCTGGACTATGGGGTCGTGCTGGAGGGCGAGGTCGAGTTGGTGCTGGACTCCGGGGAGACGAGGCTACTGAAGCGCGGGGATGTAGCCGTCCAGCGCGGCACGAACCATGCGTGGCGGAACGTGACCCCGGATGCTGTGGGGGAGGATGGGGTGAGGGTGGAAGGCTGGGCGCGCATGTTGTATGTGCTTGCGCCGGCGAGGGGGGAGGGGTTGCTGGAGGATGTGACGGGGATTGAGGTCAGGGGGAGTACGTGATTCTCTTATGGGTTTTAATTGGGAAGTGGAAGAGGGTGTGGGAAGATTGGGGATGGGGGTTGATTTTGTGGTGAGGGAATATAGAGGGGGGGTTTGAGGGGATGGTTGCTGGTGCTGTATGTATGGTTGGTTTTGTGTATGTTGAGGATAGCAATCATGGAGATTAGGACGTTGTGCTTCTGTTTTGATAAATTCTTGTGTGTAGTGCATGTGGTTTTAGTATGTATATGGAATTGGGAGCTATGGGAGGAAATGGTCAGCGCGCTATGCTACTAGAGAGCTGGGTGGTTGAACTATAGAATTGATTGAATCTGGGATATAGTTATCAGTATATGCGTCGTTCTGATCACTGAAGGTTTCAAGGGCTGTTGGACGTTCCAGGTGAGTTCTGGCCTCGGAGGAACACCTACATAGCTATTCACACTAGACAAGCTCAACTGAATAATAGAACTTGATTTGAATGAACTGCATTGCATTGCTCTGTGACAAAAAACTAGTATAACTCCCAGACTTGACATGTTTGTATCGCAGTCCTCGCATGCCCCGTAAAATCAACGCTACCACTCTCCTCCGATCTCGTAGTGAAAGATCTTGTCGTTGATCTTCCCCCCCGTCGCATGCCAGACTCGTGACACGACCTAACCTCATTAGCTGTGCTCGATATGCCTGTCAGTCGAACCTGACTTACCGCGTTCAGCCAAACACCGTGTAGCATGGTCTGAATGAACACAAATTCGGCTCTGTTCGCGCCCGCCTGTCGCTCACTTAGATTCAGCTCGCGGTTGACCGGACGGTAGGCAGGCACCCGGCGATGGTCGGTAGGCCAGTTGGCGGGCTGTGCGGGTGATGTGCTGGAGGTTGATTCTTGTGATGGTGAAGGGGTCGCCTCGCCTGAGTGATGCAGTTCATAATCCGATAGCACAGATACAGTGCCAACCCGTGTGGAGGAGGCGGTTGTAGTGGTGGTCGCAGAGGTCGTCGACATGGTGATGATGATTGTGTGGGGAAGGCAATAATGGGGAAACTGATTATGGTGAGATAGTTACAGAATAGCTGGAGTCAGGGTGATATGCTGAATGCTGCAGCATCAAACCTCGGCAGGCAATCGGTCGCCCCAAAGCGCATCTCTTGCCTCCTCCACATCCCGAACCCCATGCCCATCCTTCCCCATCCCCCCATCTTCCAGCACCTAGACTGCGGCCCATTGACCCGACTGGCCCATTCATGTCCACATAGTTGAAGGGAATCGACTGCTAGCTTATCTCCGAAGCTGAGGTCGGTTCGTTCCCCAGATCTTGTTTATGGCTATATTCCTACCCCGTTCTCACAAGGCCTCGTGCAAACATTGTCTCTCACATCATCGACGAAAATGGTTGCACCACAGTACTTCCCCCGGATCTTGTCCGCGGAAATCGACGGCCGCACTCAGAACATCCGATACCGTCAGAACCAATTCCACCGATTACAGTCTACCCTCGTCCAGCACGTTGACCAGATCAAGGACGCTCTGCTCACCGACTCGGGCCATGCGCCCGAGGAAGTCCGCGCCGAGATCTGTCTGGCATTGAAGGAGGTCCGTACGCACTATGCTTCGCTGGACTTGAGCAGAGACCTTGAGGAAGAGTATAGGGTTGCACATGGGAAAGATAACCGGGATGGCAAGCGTGGCGCGGGCATCGTCTACATCGTCCCGTGCACGCACACCATGTTCTTCTCTGTTGTCTCGGCGTTGAGTGCGGCGCTGGCGGCGGGGAACTGCATTATCCTGGAGGTATGTTTACCGCTTGTTCTGGCAGAAGGAGGAGTGGCAGAAGGAGGAGAGACGACTAACCGATGATTGGGGGTAGTTGACGAAAAACACTATGGCCCTGCCTGCTCTACTGAAAAAGATCCTCCCGCCGGCGCTGGATGCAGATACCTTCGCCGTTAGCGAAGATAGACCCGATGCGAGCTTTTTGAGCCGGGTGGTAGTACTCAATCAGAACGGTGATGCAGGCCAAACCTCCGGCCAAAGTATCTCTTCTCCAAGCACAGCTCGGACGGTCGCCGTAGTCGACCGCACTGCCGACGTGCCGGCGGCGGCGGAGGCGCTGGTCGCGGCGCGGTTGACCTTTGGAGGTCGCTCGCCATACTCGCCCGATGTGGTGCTTGTCCAGGAATTTGTCATGAAGGAGTTTGTGGAAGCGGTGCTTCAGCGGTCGTCGAAGTACCTGGGCGGCCAGAATGGCGAGGCGCGACAGACCGTCGCGAACCCTCGTCGCGCGAGTCCGGGAGCCTCGTTGCTCGACGCCGCGCATAAGAATGCTGGCTCGCGCGTTCTAGTTTCTGGATCCGAGTGGGGAGTTGTCGAAGTGCTGGATCGGTAGGTCTCTGAGAGGCGGTGGAAGTTCAAGCTGCTTGCTAAACATTGTTCAGGAAATCTCCCCTGCTACAGAGAAAGGTCGCTGAGAAAGTGCTGATCCTACACCCGATAACCAGTCTGGATGATGCCATTGACTTTAGTACTTCGTATGTTGCATCGATTCGTTCTGAAGCAGGAAGCAAACGAAGCTAACAGTCGCAGACGCGGAACTCTTGCTGCGACATACGCCTTTGCGGCCCCGGCGTCCGCCAAATACCTTACCCAATTCATTGACTCTTACATTTCCTGGGTCAACCATGTTCCCACTGATATGCTGAGTATGTTTATATTGAACATTTGTGCGACATAAAGTTGACGAGTTCTAGTTGGGCCCGCCTATCCCACCAATCTCCCCCCCACCTCTGACACTCGCTACTCGACACTATCACTTCAGGTGCCGCGGCCACAGCTTATTACTCCGACAAGTAACGCCGCACTCACCCAGACAGTCCTGAGCACCAAGAATAGCAATTGGAGTCGGGTGTGGGCGGAAAATCTAGCGCCGCTGCCTGCGATCGGCCAACGGGCCGGCAAGAAGATCGGTTTCTTCGAACAAGGCATCATCACGGGCGGAGTGATTCTTCTCTTCTCCCTGGCGGCTACGGTGTCGACGATGGGATTCTATGGCTTCTCTGCTATCAAGCGACTGCGTGCGTGAATCGTGTTTCTATTATTTCTGTCTCTGGTTTAAATATACCATATCATCTTGCAGTGTCTTTACCCTTTACACATGTTCTTTCCGTCATTCCTTCCTCTAAACACAGATTCACGGTGCTCTCCCCAAGTTGGTTGCTATGTAATTGGTGTCGGGGAAGGAATTGGTCCAGCGAATGCTTTAGCATGAAGATTCAATCGGGCTAAATCAGATGCTTAAGGTTCTTTCAATCCGTGGGAGCTAGACTGAGGGCGCTGGTGTTGCTGAGGTGGTAGGTAGTATTATTGGTGTTCAAAGTGCCGTGCCGTATAGTAGTGAGTCCTGCTTACAGTGCCAGGATAAAAATCACCTTCCCGCCATTTCCTTAATGCTTCATCGCCACAGCGTCGCCAGTAGTCCAATGGCTTGGCGGTCTAGTTGAGCATCATTGGCGGCCCATGTAAGAAGAAGTGTACCGGGCCTGGCTTCGTGTTTGTTGCTGTGATGAACCATCAAAGAGCAGATTAGCAACTACGCTTCGGAACCAGACGGGCTGGTCTGTGGAGTGTCTCTTGCCCATTCTTGGATGATTGTATCGCACGATCAAAGCAAGTCCAGGAGGCTTAGTGGAGATGCTCTGGTGGATAGCGTATGTCGCCGCCACCGCCAGGGCAGGCTGTGGCCGGGATGTGCCTCCACATCCCGAAGCGAGGTGTTCAGCGTCAGCATTTCTCCCCAAGAGCAACTAATCAACCAGCACCGGTCAATGCTTTGGGTTTAAGAGCTGAGATCGTCGTCGCTTACCTCTAAGTCTGTTTCTCGTGCACTCGGAACTTTTCAGGTTGATTGTCTCGGCTGATTTCGATTCGGCTGGTTTGGTTCAGATCTACTGTGCAGTACAGACAGGTAGGATGAGAGATTAATTCTCGCTGAGTCATGTGTCGAAGATGAGTCAATGGGTCAATTGACCGTGCAAGTGACCACCTGTGGTCGACAAGTTCTAAACAGGCTAGAATCCATAGCAAGTAGTTCGAGTAAGTGTACGAGCACGAATTAGTAAGGCAGCCGAGTTCTACGGAGTCGAGTGGGTCCTTTTCCCCGCAATGCACTTGACCCGGTCTGTTCCTTCCCCGGATCCTGAACCACCCAAACATTTTCTCTTCCCCCTCCCACTGTACGCCCATCATCTCCTTCACTCTCCCCTCCACCACACACACCATCATGTCAAATTCTCAACAATGTTAGAGGAACCACCTACTGAAATTGCCCCCTCTACCTCCGTGCAATCTCCCTCAAGGTCAGCCCAAAAAGCCCGCGATGGCTATTTTCAATGTGGTTTCTGCAAGAAACACTATAACCGTGCCGACCATTTAATCCGCCATGTTCGGTCGCGTAAGTCCTTGTTATTCGAGCTCGCACGAAGAAGACTAATTGCTCTGTAGATACCCGAGAGAAGCCCTATGTGTGTCACATTTGCAACAAAGGCTTCGCTAGACCGTAAGTCGCCCTCTTTCCTTTTGTCGCAAACTCATGAACTCCGTGAGCTTCCAGTGATCGAGAAGCTCGCCGGCCCAAAGCGGACTCAATTGTTCTTAATGGGTCGCTACATTACTGACCTCAACTAGGGATCTCATGAAACGTCACGCCGCAGGTCATGATCAACCCCGCGACGGCAAGAGAAAACGGCCGCCAGTCTTCGCCAAGAGTGGCCGTGTCTCCCAAGCCTGTCGAGCATGCGCAACGTCAAAGCTCAAGTGTGACGAGGAGAAGCCTTGCCGACGGTGCCGAGACAAGAAGCTGGAGTGCGACTGGCAGGAGGCAAATCCCGGCGAGATGTCTCCCGGTTCATCATCGCAAGGTCTGTCGTTGCTCTGCTATGCACTGGATCTGCAGCAGCCAGGCACCCCGGCTGAACTCCCACCAGCATACGATGAGCCTGACGAGACCGAAATGTGCCTCGAAACCCCTCAGACACAAGGCGTCTTTCCCTCGCCAGCACCCATCATGAATGAGTTGCCGCCACCCATCGACCCTACGTTCGCCACGCCGGATTTCCCTGTCAGTAATTTCCGGCCTCAGGCAGCTGATTCGGCTCCGCTGGAGGATCCACTGACCACCAGCTACGATGGTACCGTGACCCATCTCGCTTAACTGGGTGTCAGCTGACGGACTGCCTGCTAGCAATTTCTCCCAGCCTGGACCACGAAAGTGGTATCTTTAGCATCGATGGAACCTTTTTCCCGGAATTCATCCCCGATTCTCTGATCACCTCTCTCTCACGTCCGGATCTGGATCCGTTGTTGAACCACACCCAGGAGTATGCTTATGGGGTCTTCGACCAAAACATACCATTCAACTTCGATCTCACCGAAATAGACTTTGGACTTCTCGAATACTTCAACTCCCAAGGGATCACACATCATGCACCCCCCGCTCCTGAGGCACCCAATGACCGGGTGGATGTGGAGAGTGAAATTGCGCTGGGCGCTGAAGCTTATAAGCGTTCCTCGCTGTCCGCGTGGAAGCCTGCGCAGAGCGACAATGCATTTGCACACCAAGGCGATCTTGCTGTTCCCGGGACTATCGACAGCCCCGATACAAGTCTTCGATCCGAACGGAGAGTTCTTTCCGAACGACTGTCAGCAGGGAGCCGCGATCTGATTTTCGGGATGGTGCTGCAGGCCAGCCAGAAAGCCAATCCGCTTCGGATCATGAAGTCGTTTCCGAGCACAGAGCTTTTGGACGGGCTGATACAGGATTACTTTGCATATCAGAGCCGGCAGGTCGATTCCTACATCCACGGCCCAACATTCCGGATCAATGAACAAAGCTCCGACACCCTTACCGCCATCGCCGCCGCGGAAGCAACAAGGTCCACTATTCCAACTATCCGCAAACTGGGCTACGCACTACTAGAGATCGTGCGACTGCAAATCTCAGATAAGGTATGCTTGAGGTAACGAAAATGTCCCCGGAGGTAGACGCTGACCTAGGTAGTACGAAACTGATAACCGGACGACTCGTGATCTGCGAGCTTCTCAAACATTCGCCTTGGTCCTAGATATTGGACTCTGGAGCGGGAACGGTCGAAGGACGGAGATTGCGGAAAGTTTCCAACAGCCTCTACTTACGGTTCGTTCGCAATATGCTGAGGCGCTATTCGAAGCTGACACTTCCCAGATGCTCAGAAGAGCCCTAAGACTTCGACGATCTGTGTATACAGTAATCGTCCCTAGTCTCGCAGATACTCCGGAGGCACTCGAACAAAAGTGGCGGGATTGGGCGGAGCTGGAGTCATTCAAGCGGTAAATCTTGTGAATCGCTTTTTAAAGACTCTGCTGACGGCTTAGACTGGTACACCATCTCTTTCTACATGATGCTCAAGCCGCGCTGATGCTGAATGTCAACCCTCTCGTCTCGTACGCGGAGCTGGAACTTCCCCTTCCTTCTATCCGGTCCTTGTGGGAAGCGAAGTCGTCAACGGAGTGGAGGGATGCTTACCTGGCCTCCGGATTGATTGGCCGGGAGCGACTGCCATCACTGGTCGATGCTATGAGAGACATGTCCCGCTTGCAAACACGCGTTGATTCACAATTTGCTGGGTTCGTCGTCTTGCACGGCTTAGCAGCGATGGTCACTGAGTATCACCGCTTCAGTTTCATCTCCAAGGGAAGCTCCAAGCACTGGAATGGGCTAGTAATCAGCTCTCGGCACCAGGAGCTATCGCAGGCCCTGCAGCACTTCCGTATGGTCTGTTACGAATGGTCTGAGTTTCCTGGACCTGAGGTGTTCCTAGTCCAAGAAGTGATCTCCATGTTCTTGTATATGTCTCTCGAAGAACTTCAGCTCTTTGCTGGCAAGGAAGACAAAAGAGAGGCTCGTCGGGTGTACCACAGTGCCCTCGAATGGATTGAGAGCAGCGACTCGCGGCGCGCCGTGTGGCACGCGGGTCAAGTTATTCGCGCCGCTAAAGCCATGGCACCCGGATCACTCACTGGGTTTCTGGCCGTTGGGGTGTACTACGCGAGTCTGGCCTTCTGGTCCTACAGTGTAGTCTCCAAAGCCAAGAGCGTGAAGTCGACCGGGCAGGCCGGTGGCAGCCGATCGCTGGGCCTGAACCCCCGGAACAACCAATTTCCCACTACGTATCTCGACGGGGAAGAGACGACGGAGGTGCAGAAGTTCATTTCGCTGGGATGTGGATCGCCGGCTTTACAGGGGCCACAGGGACCTGCATTTGTATCCGATCCGAGACAGACAATGGATGTGGCGCAGGGGCTTCTGCGGGCGGATGCCTCAAACGAAGCACTTCCTCCACTGGTCCAGGGGCTCTGTCAGTTGATGGGTGATTTGGGTAAAGCGGCCAAGTCTACGCAATAAGTGAGAATTGTATCATGTCGCTTGTGTGTCGATCACTGTAAGATATGGAGAGTGTAATACCAGGACATAACTAAGTTAATCGCAACGGGCCTCAATGATGACCCTGTACAGCACATTTCCCGCCTGTTGTAACATCACACACATCAGGAGTATTGGCTGCGAATAAGTGCCGAGCTTGCAAACCTGAAGGCTTCACGTGAAGAATTTACCACAGAATGAATTAGCAATGTAGACACCGGAGTTAGGCTTGGACCTTGGATTGGATAATACCCGACGAGACTGGGACTTTTCAAACATAGGAGAGTAGAGAGAGGGCCGGAGTTGTAATGAAATATAACACTAGTTTTGGCAGCTAGTTAGCGCTGAGATCCTTGAGAGATCCAATGAGTTGCACATCAATATTGAAATCTCTCTGGCAAGGTTACAGATAACCCTTATCTCATCTTCACTTACATCATATCATGACTTATTGTTCACATATTTCAAAAACAGGCATTCGTAGTTTCCGAGGCATTTTAACTTCATTTTTTCTTATGAAAATCTAAGTAAATCCTCCGGGAAAATGTTATAAAGTATGTGCAACCAGTCTGCAACCGGTTTGCGACCTTCACCTCCGAGGGAGGTCCTTTTCTCCACTATGGACTGGGAGTATAGAGCCGCAGGGCAGTCCGTACACTACATACGATATATGCCGCGATGGCTGTTGATGGCGGGAGGATGGACAGCTGGGACTAGGAGTTTCCCGGCCGCGGGTTTTGTATTTGGCAGTTTTGTGAGGCGTCGAGGAAGACAAGGCCGCCTCGGTTCTTCTTTCTAAGGTGGTACATGACTACCTTGGTACCTTATGTACCACTTTGGTCAAATCGGAAAATCGAATGAAAGGTGACGCTTCGGGGACATTAGGGCCACAGCTACCGACCACCAGCAACGGGACGGATAGATGACTTGCTACACTCGAAAAGAGCCTACGTTAGTGCTGATACTAATGTATCCAAGGTTTCCGACACCGTTGCAAACAGGCCAGTTCAATCCATGACATCGATAAGGTACAACCCTACAAAGCCGATCCGTACATACACATCCACATGTCTGTCATAACAGAAGAAAATCGCTCGAAGGAATAAGACTTGGGTATAACGCTTGCACTGAAAGGGATATAAGTTGACCGAAGGGTCTGGGACGATGCAATGCAGGAGATAGAGAGGCAAAAAGAAAGATTCCTAGAAAGAGGGATTGGTTGTTGAAACGGGTTTGCGAGCGTACACGACTGACACCGGGAGGTAGGCATGTGTTTCGAAGTCGCGGAGGGACTGGCGCATTTGCGCGAGAAAGACTTGCGCGCGCTCGTAGGACCATTCCAGGGTCGTTGTGAGGAGACGGAGCATGAATCCTTCAACCCCAGCGTGGAGGCGCAGTTGGTTCCAGCGGCCCTGACAAGAGGTGAGCAAATTTCCGAGGATGTGAGGCTTGTATTACTCACTAGTTCGTGTAACTTGGCATCGGAACTCCACCTGGGATAATTGTCAGCATAGGGTTTTACTTGTATGAAGGAATGTCAGCCATACGCATTCATGGGCCATTGGAAGCGTCTCTCCACCACATCGACAAATCCAGCCTGCCGCAGTCGCGTCGCGCTTTCGGCCCAGATGTTGAACGTCTTGCCTGACATGTTCCCCGAGTTGAGTACGGTCTGTCCCCACACGCGGTAGAAATGGTCCTCCGGTACGGTATCGTCGTTCGCGATCGGCTCGACCGAGTGCTCGACGACTTCTATATACCCGCCGGGTTTGAGGCAACGCCAGCATTGCTGGAAGAATTCGTCCCAGTCAGGAATGCATCCGAACAGCTCGCGCACGTGAATGAAATCGAAATGATCAGGGTCGTAGGTCCACGGAAGGGTCACGTCGTCAATCTCGAAGACACAATTCGGTGGGACGAACAGCGGCTGGATCGGAGAAAGGTCCACGCCCGTCACTTTGGCGCTGGGGTATTCATCCGCCATATCTCTGTTTAGGATGAGCTCGTCGTCAGTCAATGCCTCCTACAGAGCTTTTGGGTCGCATAACACACATTGCCCAAATGCCGGTTCCCGTTCCCACGTCGAGGATTTCCTGTGCAGGTATTCGGTCAGACAATGTTCTGTTGTTATACACAAGAAAAAAAGTGACTCAGGTAACGACAGACAGTACCTGCGGATTGCATATGGGAGCCATGTGAAGCTTCCCGTCGAGGGTCAGAAAGTACATATGATGGGCCAAGTCTTGTTGTTCGTTCGCAATGTCATCGTTCGGGCCCTGTCACTCGCACCCACAATCGGTCAGTCAGTCCGCAACGGGGCGCAATCGGATCATTCTGAAGTCGGACCAGCCTACCCAGTATGCGCCATCGCGGAAGGAGTGGTACCGACGCCCGTATTCGAATCGGTAGTCGGTGATATAGGTGGACAAGGTGACGGTATCGTCTCCGATCAGGGAATCCTCGCCGTAAGCCGAGTCATCGTCCTCCATTTCTTCGTCAGTCGCATGACCCGACAGGTCCGAGGAAGGGTTATGGCGTTGAGTATCATCGGGCAGAAAAGGGTGTGTTGGTGCACGCCCATCCTCTTCCTCACATGGGGGGGTCATGGCGGCGATCGGGAAGGAGTCTAGCAGATCGGATTGCGGAGATCGACTCCGTCCGGGGGAAGGGCGCGGTCCACGGAGAGTTGAATTTATAGATATTTGAATCCGGTAATCATACGAAGAGTATTCCAATCGGCCAGAAAGGAATGACTACTTTGACAACGCAGAGGGATAGTTCGAGTCCACGAGGGAGGGGATACCTTGCGCAAATGACAAGGGGAGGGAGGAGGTGACAAGCAAGTTGAGGCTTGGGGGGGGGTGGATTCTGGGTTAGAAGGGATCAAGGAAAGGAAAGAGAAGAAAGAGGCATGAGATTAGAAACGGATCATCTGGTGCTGCCACCATTGCTTCCCCACACTAGGAGAAGAATGTGTAAAGGTAAGAATTAAATTAGATTTGGAGGAGGGAATTGGAGTTGGTGGAAGAAGAAGAAGATCGGAAGGAAGAGAGAAGCCGCAGTTGGTGCATGACTAGTTAGTTAGTTGCTATCCGGACTTAGTAAGGATAGGATGGATGATTTGCAGTGATTGCAGTGCTTGCAGTGCTTGCAGTGCCCATGAAGGCCAGATGCTTCAGGCTTTGCTGAAAATCACATGATGCAAAGGAGGGGCGGTGAGTCCACTTTCGAGTGTATGATTGGGTGATGGGAGCATGATTGAGTTTCCTGGACGGTTTCCAGGGATGAGAGAGTCTAGGTCAATTGGGAAGGTGCTATTCACTGGTGTAAGTTACCTTATTGTACAGTATGTGTTGGATGTAGATGTACGGAGACAGTACAGCGTTGAGTACAGCGCCAGCTCACTGAAAGGAGTTGGATAAGAGGGTACTCCGTAGTAGCCTGAACTTGCAGGCTAACCTCCCTCCCCATCTGTCCTACTCCTACCTACACCACCCGCCTTCTCCTCCCTCCCAAGAAAAGACAACTCATTCCCCTTTATGCTCCTTCAACCACTCCGTGACAAGGATGACCCCGTTTATCAATATTCAACCTAACTTTATATCCCACTAAAGTAATCAGCTACCCCCAAACCAGGTTAGTGGTCCCCCTCCCAATGACCACCCCCCCATTAGTTAACGTTAGTGGAAGTTAGTGCTGACTAGCCTGAAGAATTGAATTCACAACTTGCCCAAATTTGACCTTCTCCGACCGGGATGCCTGATTCTCTCGCACCGCGCCATTAACTCGGGTCAGGGTGATGGATGAACGAACGATCGTCAATGGTGATAAATGATTAATCATAGTGGTGATGTGCATATTTCCACATCCCCTATCTTAGTCCTCCAGGAGTCTGTCCCGCACTTCTGACCCGGCACATGTCTTGGATTTGCCGTGGAACCTAAAATGGCTCCATTCTGAACCCACTTTTCGTTCCAGCCGGTTGGTCAACGGCCTTCTTTTGAAGTTCTGAAGAAGTTCTGGTACAATTTCACCCGGTTCCCACGTTTCACTGCAAGCTTTAAACCATTTCGACACAAGTGTTCCCCCCTCAATCCATCTCGCTCCCAATTTATGGCCTGCATCTGCAGCCATCCCGTGTCATCCCGATTCCTTGTGCATCGTCCGATGGTGCAATGAGAGATGCGGGGGTGAGTCTGAGGGTCAGACACTCGAGCATCGGCAAAAAGCATGGCAGCCCACCGCGATGACGTTCCCGCTTATCAGTGGTCCAGACGGGGAACGAGAGAATCGATGCCAAAATTTTCTTGAACCATGAATCAGCTGGACGCTCTGACGCTCGTATTAGGGAAGGCGTTCCCTCCTTCATGACGGAGAGTCCGTCAGAGCCGCTCCGCGCCCATGGCGCTCCTAGCTGCATTCAGTAATCTGATTGAAGGTACTCCTTCACTGGATAATAATGTCTTCCCTTGTATCAGGCAAGAGTCCTTTCCTGTTCTCCACCAGAGACGGGAACCCGGGCCCTCCATGGCTGACGAATGGCTGCTGCACCGGGAGATCGATTGCTGCAATAACAGCTGGACAATGCCCTTCTCCTTGGGTCGCTTTTCAAACTTTGCATCTGCCTATCGAGAATTAAAAGTTGGCGCCTCTCGCTGCCCTTCTTATTTCCGCTAGCCTACGTGTGCACATTGTCTCAGACTACTTCCCTTTGAGCATGGGCATAGTGCAATGGCTCCGCACGCTCTTAGGGGCTAAGCCCGGGGAGGCGACCACGTCCGAGCCAAAGCTCACTACTACGGTCTTGATTGTCGGTGCAGGTAAGGCTACCTCAACAGCTTGACCTCAGGCCAACATACCGCAATTGAGTCGGCCAATCTAGCAATGGGAGCTAACCCTCTCACTCTCAGGGTCGACTGGACTTGCCCTGGCACAAGGTTTGAAAAAAGTACCAACCCTGCTTTACAACATACCTGCAAACCCACCAA